GGGGGGAGGGCGGCGGCAGAGGTTTATTTCCGAGGGCCCTGCCGGGCGGGGAGCCGCGGGCTGGGAGGTGGGCAGACAGCACCGTGTCAGCTGTCGAGGCCGCCGGCACTGCTCCCTGCCGAACCAGCGGCAAAGTGGGGTTTGCTTTGGCCGGCGCTGCTGGACAGGGGAGAGGACGTGAGAAGCTTCGGCGTTTTGCTTGCATGGGACGGGGGTGCTGCAAGGATCGTTGCCTTTTTAACGTTGTGTATTCTTTAGGGCGGTTAAATCTATTAATTAGATCTACTAATTAGGTGCAGCCCCCTCTGATACCGTGAGGGGGACCTTTGCTCCCGTAGCTGTGGAGCAGGTCTGTGTGAAGCAGGCATAGCTGGCTGTAAGCTGCATGAAGAGCCAAACGTGGCTGAAGAGGGCATGTTCACTGCATGAAAAAAAAATATTTTTTGAAAATTACTGCATACTTCCTTGAAGTAGACATCCTCCCTCACTGGAATTCTTAATTGGCACACTCTGCTTTTCCGTTTGCTAAGTGCTTGAAATGAAGCAAATTATTGTTGTTACTTCTAAGCACGCTGAGCGCAGATTGCCTTTTTCATCTGTGGGGTTTTTTGGGGGGGGCTTGTGTTTCACTTTTTGTAGGAGATCATGATGTCAGTGAGGATTTTTAGAATACATCTGCTGTTCTGCTTTCTGGCTGCATTTTTCATCTCTGCCCTAGCTGAAGAACACGTAGGAGAGAGTCAACATGCAAATATTCGCCTTGATAAGAACTTGGTACAAGATAAAGAGTATGTGTTGCCTGTTCTAAAAATGTAAACTTTACTTCTTAATGATTTTCTTATCTCTTAAGTCTTGTTACATGGGTTGGACTTAAGCCTAGGGCACCCTCTTTTCTCAGAATGTTGTATGACTTGCTGGAGTCAGGTATGAGACATGCTTGCTTGATAAGTTTCTAGAGATACTAGACCTAGAAAGGTCTTTCTGGTGAATTTAGCCCTGCTCATACTATAAGGAATATTTTACGGGAATCCTTACCTCGATTAACACATTATAGACAAATTCACATTCTGAACAGGTAAAGCGAAAGCTTTTTTCACTTCTTGATACAGACAAAACAGTGGTAGCAGAAAATGAAAGTCCCTAGAATACTTCATGTTGAACTGGGAAGATATCTTCCTTCAGTTCTCATGCTTTGGAAGACAGCCAAAGGAGGTTTTGGGCTTTGCTTCAGTTGTTTTGATAACCTGCGAAGTAGGCCAAAAGAAAGATAAATAGTTACATAACATATTAGAGGCCACTGCAGCACGTGCACCAAGCAACCTTTGTACCCCTTCATCTCCGTATCTGTAACTTTTGGTTGTCTAGGGTGCTTTTAGAGATACAGTATTTCCTGTGTACCTCACTGCCTGGTTGAAGACTAAATTTGATGTAAACAGAGCATTAAATACTAACTGACGGTGGTGTGAGTTTTGTTTATTTTTTTAATTCTTAGCCACATCATGGAACATTTGGAAGGTGTTATTGAGAAACCAGAATCTGAGATGTCTCCACAAGAGTTGCAGCTTCATTACTTCAAAATGCACGATTATGATGGCAATAATTTGCTAGATGGGCTAGAGCTTGCTACTGCTATATCTCATGTCCACAAAGAGGTAGGTGGAATTTTGTAATGGCACATGTGTTTGGAAACAGTTGTAACTCTTGAAAGCAGCTTACGACAGAACAGAACAGTTACAACACATCTCCAGTGCAGTTACAGTTTTGCCTGAAAATGAGATTATTTTTCCCCTGACAGTTTTGGTTTGATTTATAAATGTGCTAGCTTTATCACAGGTTTTCATGTCACATTGCAGTTGTGGAGAAGTATCCATTGTAATTTAAATTTTAGAGTGAGGATGATTTGACAGTTTTAGATTTAGAGTGAAAATGATTTGACAGAGGGGACATGTGGCATGCAGGAATAGGGAGAAAGGGAAATTATCCAAAATGGAATAATGCTCGTGAGGGCTCATAGTTGAGGCTCTGAGGCTGCTGTTTTCCAACTCCAAACTGTTACTGCCTTGGATATGCAAACAGTAAGAGACCTCTTGCACAAAATTAGTTTTCGAAGAACCAGTCAGAATCTGCCTTCATTTTCTTCACCTTTTTCTAAACACAAATTCCAGCTAGGAACATTTAAGGACAAAGTATGAAGATAAATTCCTTAGGAGGAAAATAGCAGTACATTATCTTGTACTGACCTTTTGGAAGTTACAATTCAGAATAGCATAACTTCCTGCATATACCTGTGGCAAAAAATACCTAGCTAAGAACAGAATAATGACTTGCTGTTTATTGTGCAAATGCACCCCTTTGCATTCCGCTTTGCACATAAGAGCTGATACTAAGAATTTTACTGACTTTAAGCTACAGTGCTGAATCTTTTTCCCCTACTTTGTTGCTGTCAAGCTCTTAATTTTGCAAGTTCTGATGCACAGGAAGATGTTTCTGTACTGATTAGAAACTATAGTGTCTATACTACATTGAGATCCAAATTAAGAATACATCTGTTAGATTATTATCCATCCTTTTACACTGTGCTATTTAGCTTTTAGAACTTTTGTGTAAGAATATTAACTGGATGCAGAGTGCTTGTTCTGGAATCCAGAGAACTTGGACTTCGTAGCTTCCACCTGGTAAATTTGCTTATATTGGTATAAATTATTGCATAAAACTTAGTGCCAAATTAGGCATCACACAAACACTTAACAAAAAACTAGCTGTTAGTGACCTGTCACATCTGCCACTAGATGGGAAACACTGCTAAACTTTTCAATGTGTTTTTGCTTTTGTAGGAAGGTGGTGAGCATACCCAGGCAATGAAAGAAGAGGAGCTAATTAGTCTAATAGATGATGTCTTAAGAGATGATGATAAGAACAATGACGGATACATTGACTATGCAGAATTTGCAAAATCACTGGAATAAGGTTTTGATTCTCCTTCTAACTACATGGAAATGTGAACCAGTATAATGTGATTCATTGCTGTCTCATATCAACCTCTGTGCTGTGAGAAGGGGAGGTGTACCAGTTCCAGATGAATTTATGTGAAGATTGTATGTGTTAAGAGACTGGCTAATTTGGAGTGAGAGCGATGTTTGACCAAATGTAGCTACACATTTGAATCTCGAAGCATGGAAGCATCAACAGTACTCACACAGAGTACAGCCAGCAAACTCTTAAGTTGCTGTGTGTGAATACTAAATAGATCATATAAAATCTGAATCTCAGTTTTTATGTCATTGGGTTATATAGTGCTTTTTTGCTCACATCTTCCATTTAAACTTATGAAATACCTAGAAAGCAGGAAAAGATTACTGCATATAGTTGTATTTCAAAGATAAATGTCCTTACCTTCCCACTAATTTCAAATGAAGTTTGCATATAAGTACAGGTGCTTGAAACAGCAATTGTAGAGAAATGTTTCAATGTGGTTTATGTTTTAAGTCCACATGATACCATATGGACTTTAACACCATCTTTGAAGAAATTGAGTATTTTTAAATATATGTACTTCTTAACATACCCTTACATTTTTCATAGAAATATATATACATATGTTTTCCAGTTGCTTTCCGTCTTTCACAAATTTACTTTTTATATCTTAATTTACTGATATTTTCCTCTACCTTCCATGGTGTTTTCTTAAGAAAATGAAAGTATTTTTATTACATTTACATGTTGTATTAATGCTGTATAGCATTTACTAGAGTAGCTTCTGCTATCTCATTTTGAAGGTCATGTTAACAGTAAACCAGTTTAATAGAAAAACTTCTGTTCAATTTGGTTTTTACAGTATTAGCCAGCAGAATAATTCAAATGAGCAAGTAATGCTGCCTTGTTAAGGTTTAAATTCATATTCCTTGTATTACTGTATACAATATGCAATTCATATTCTGGTATTACTTTCAGTAGGTATTTCATAACTAAGTTTCAAGATACATGAGTGTGTGCAAATTCACGATTCTGTGTAAGTTTTCACTGTCTTGACTCAATATTTGGTAAGTCGGGCCATTTAAGGATATTAGAGAAGTGATGTATTGCTGTGTTATTGATATTTGGTGACTCTGAAATACAACTAAAATATTAAATTGCATTCAATCATTATCCATTAATAGAGAATCTAAATGTTAGCGTATTTCTGTAACATGTATAAAGAGCTATTTTCTGTACAAAATTATTCTTATACAAGAAAAATACATTTGTAAAAGAAATTACTTCCTCTTTAAATGTTTGTGCAATGAACTCTGAGTGTCAGACTTTTTTCTTGTACTGATTATTTATTTTGATACAAAAATATTACTGATTGTACAAGCAATAAAAGTAAGTTGGGATTTGTGCACTCTGAAGCTAGACATACAAGGCTGGAAGTCCTAGTGAGAAACATACCTAGTTTTCTGATGTATTTTTAAGCCTGTCTTTGTTACTAGCAATCGTCTAAAGAGAAAATTTTTCTTTCAGCTGAAGCAATTTTTTTAATATTTGTTTTGAGGGTAATTAATCTGGAGTGAATGTTGAATCAGAAGTAGTATAGAAAATGCTGGTGGGTAGAAGGGAAGAAGAGGTTAAACTCCTTAGCTCTGAGCAGTTAAAGCAGGTTGCCGAACAGACCTGCCAACTCTTCCACACTTACTGCATAAGCTTTTCAGTTTTGGATTTATTTTGGATGAAAGAGCAAGACCAAGGAACTGACTTTTATGCACTGCTCTTAAAAATCATGGTTTTCTTATCAGGTGTAGTCCATAAACTTAGTCCAGCACCCATGTCTGGGGAACATTTACTTATGTTGTATTTATATACATAGTTATTAACTGCTATTGTATGTGGCAAATGACATGCACCATGGAAGCTTTGGAGCAGAAAAAGTTATGATAAGTGTAGATAATGGGAACAACAGTATTTACCAAGCATTTTAAACTCATTTTTGAGGGGTGAGAACTAAGTATAGAGACACTATTTACCAAAAATAGAGAACACAGTTGGCACCTTTCATTGCATGATGCATGAAGAAAGATCAAAACAAAATTTCTGCTTTAGTAGAAAGAACAGTTCAAGAAATGCTACTCAAGCTGAAACCTGCATCATCATGTCTTTACTCAGCCTCCTAAAACAAATACACATTTAATTAAGTGCACTTAAAGATAAATGGTTTAACAGCTATCTAGGGAGCTTTCTCAGTTAAGTATTAAAGTGCAAAATTGCTGAGAGCAATGGTGAGCCAAACTTAAAAAAAAACAAAACTAATTTGTGTGTTAGTTGTAGCTCATGCAGAACTCTAAATATGCTGGTACAGGTCATATATACATATAATATTGTGTACATATAATGTAGGAAATACAGCCTTTACAACAGATGTACTCATCAACTATAAAGCTGTTTTAGCTTCTGTAGAACAGTACTGTCTCCATTTCACAGATAATAAATAAGTAACAAAGCAGAAGGGGTGTATGATTTACTGAAGGTCATCACATACATGGTAGAAACAATACAAGGAGAATGTTGTAGGCTGTGATCCTTACCTTAACCTAGTCTGTGATCTGAGGGAACGGGGATTACTTTTCCCTACTACAGGAATCATAGAATGGTTTGGGTTGGAAGGGACCTTAAAGACCATCCAGTCCAAACGCCCCTTGCCATGGACAGGGACACCTCCCACTAGACCAGGCTGCTCAAAGCCCCATCCAACCTGGCCTTGAACACTTCCAGGGAGGGGACATCCACAACTTCCCTGGGCAACCTGTGCCAGTGTCTCACCACCCTCATAGTGAAGAATTTCTTCCTAATATCTAGTAGTCTAAATCTACCCTCTTCCAGTTTTATCCCTTTTCCTATCACTACATGCCCTTGATAACACATCTGACCTTGCATTGCTGTATACTACATGCCCAGTTTAAAATACCTAGCTGATCTGCTCGCAAAATATTGCATAATCCAGCAGCTAAAGAAAATGCTTAAACTTGTTCTTGAAGCACTTCTAAAGTGAGCTGGTTTTATTAGCTTATCTAGAATATAGTCTGTATACAAAGGGGAAAAATCTTCACTGTTTGTCCAATGCCTGTCAGAATGCTGTTAATGACAAGAATGACTGCCAAGAACTTCCCAGCAACAGTTTTGTCTCTGTATTCACACAGATTTTACTACAGTTTTTTAATTAATCATATATAACCTAAAAATGTCTTAGATTCATTAAAGAATGGTTGCAGACTTACCCTGATTTCATCTAAAAATTATTTTTTAATACTACAATTCACAAGCTGAAGAACAATTCAGGAATAATGTCATAATCGATACAGCCACTAGGTAGCGTATAGACACTGCACATTGGTTCCCTGCAGCATGTAACGGAGTGATCCAACAACCTGGATTTCTCTGTATCATTGTTCCCTATTCTGATTATAGGCAAGGCTTGCTTCTCTGTCTTCCAACACCGTATTACCAGTATGTTGCTCACATTTTTTATTAGTTTACACCTGTCATAAAAATTGATCATAGCCGGGACTGGTTACTGGTAATTAATTTTCATTGTTTAGGGAACCCAAATCGACTTGAAGTGATAAAGAAAGTTGCATTGTAGTATTGTCAGTAAAAATAATTGCGTAACAGGAATGCTTTCTAATATAAGCACCAGGCTTGGCCTAACTTCTTGACCATCTCTAGTTGACCTATGAGAGGGTCCATGAGGTATCTACAGTGATGTCAGCGAACACTAAAAAATGTTAGAGGGGTTTGGTAGGACCTGAGGTCTTACTGGCTTTGCGTTAGATGTCAGTATGAGCTTCTGTCACTGTTCTTACAAGGCATAGGCTCAGTGTGGTTGGCTGCTTTTGCTTAAGATGAAGCTTATTTCTTTTTAGTTCCTCTCCCCCATTATGGTCTCACTGACTGCCCATTGCACCATGAAGCGAATGCATAATGTTCTAAGTTTTTAGTAAACAAATTAGAGCAAGGATCATTGCATACCTTGGTCTGCATTATTTATTATCACAATTTTTGTTCTAAACATTTCATCAGCACAGATCCTCTGTCTGCATTGAATGAGATCCATTACAAGGGCAGTTATTAATGCCTTACAGAAGGTTTCTCTGAAGTTACATTTTTCTTCCCATTCTTCATGCTAAATTCTGAACAGCAGCCTGAATTTTAAGGGCTAGCAGAGCTACTATCATTGTCACTACCTTCCTAAGCTGAGCAGCAGTTGTACGTGTAGGTAGAGGGCAGTGTAACATATGATTCAAAGTCTACTGCCAGATATGACATTTTACAAGAAATCAGTACTGAAGCGAACATAGTGTCAACTTCTGCTATTTGATCCAACTGAGTGACTGACAGCACTAGATTTCAAGAAGACAGATGTCAATAAACTCAGAGAATGGGTAGGGAAGATCTCATAAGAGGCAAATCTATGGGAAAAACAAATTATGGAGAGCTGTCAGTTCCTTCGAGAAATGCTAATAAGAAACCAAGCATAACCTATGCCAGTTTATAGGAAAGTAAGGAAATTCAGCAGAAGTCAGCTAATTCACAACCTTTCAGTTGACCACAAGCATAAGAGAGAGATGTATCTGTAAAGCAGAAACTAGGTCAGCTGGCTGTGTTTGCAATTAGCAGAGACAAAATGCACAGGGTGCAACTAGAAAAACTTACCAAAAGTAAAAGAAATTGTATAGGTAAGATTGTAAGAGAAAAAAAAGAAAAAGGAAACTTTGGACCACTACCCAAAGATGGGAGGGTGCCATCAGCAGAGGACATAAAGGAAGCCAGAGTTTAGTGTCCTTTTTTTTTTTTTACTTTTTCATCAGTCTTTACTAAAAAGGTCAGTAGCAAGCAGACAGTGTAATTATCACCAGGGAAAAAGGCATAAAATTTCAGCCTAAAATATGCAAAACCTGCCTAGAGAGTAACCAGTTAAACTAGATGTTTTCCTGCTGCCTGAGCCTGATCAACTTCACTCTAGGAGTCTTAAAGGGAGGGTGAAGTAATGGCTTCAAGTAATATAGCTTGAATTTATTTATTTTATTTAAATTTTTTTGCAAGTCCTTTAGCAGTATTTCCTATATCCTCATGAACAGGCTAGGGAACTGTGATCTAAATGAAACTGCTGTGGGAAGGGGCAGGAGGTCGTCTGGTTGGATAATTGTATCCACGGGGTAATTCCATCATAACCTATCAAAATACACCTGTTTTGCAAGGAATTCTGTGGGCCATGGTCCCACATCGAGTTTTATTTGATGTTTTC